ACTCCGACCCAACTACTGAACAACCCCACTATGTCGATGAGCATGTATTAATCCCCACACTCCATTGGACATCATTTTATCAATTTTCAAACCCACATTTTCTGACACTCACTAACACACCGCAAGAAATAGAAAGAAACAAAAATGACCTTTTCAGACTAACTACAGCACTGTCACCTCGACAATTTACGCACGTAGGATACAAAAAGCTATTGAAAATGTTCACCGCGCCCCGAGCTAACGAGTATTCTATCGAGCACTATGATCATAATATCATCCGACCTAACCAAGACCAATTCCTCGATGACGACAAGACCGCTAACCCGCAACTAACTGAAATTTTTTTCATCTGAACATATTTTCACACTCAGTGCAATAGATAAAAAGCATGATCACATCATTTCAGAAGCACTTATTGACAATCAAGCTTACGAATCATTCTACAAAAAATTTGAATCCTTCTCACTAATCTTACACTTCCTCACTCCAAAAGAATGATATTTGCACTGTTCACACGACATCATGTTGAGAAATAGACATCCTGTTGAGAATTACTTGCACTTATTATAAATTCATTCAAAATCACTTTGACTTACATACACCATCACGACAACCGCATCACCGAAATCAATTTATTAACTCTAAATACACATCACGGTTTTTTCTTAATTTCACATATTGCATAAAAAATACTAACTTTCACGGCATCCTCCGTAACTATGACCCCATAACCCAAATGTACATCTTTTGTCCACTAATCAAGACTTTCAATGTAGAAGAATCCAGACCCTTAATTGTCCCACATGTATACATCCAACCTGTAGAAATGTCAATTTCAGAATTTATCCACAATACTAAGTATAATCACAAGCTTTTTAATCTAATTCAGAACACACATCATGAGTTTTCTTTTGGCACTGAAGAACTAAAGACAATTAAGGCACTGCAATTGCTTTGGCCACTGCTTCATACTAAAAACATCATTCGCATATTAGCAAAACTACTAACCACATCAGATGCTATACACGATATCTTCCCTCATAGATTCTTTCCCGATGACTAAGTAAGTATGAATTAAATAATTTAAAAACTAACAAATACGAAATAAAACTAACTTTTCTTTATCACCTGTTTTTTCTTTTTCTTTAGTCTTTAGATCACGATCATCAACAAATAGAAAAATCAAATAAAAATTACAAACTCCTTCATAAATTATAAATTTTTATTTACAAACCGTAATGAATGATGCAGTATAATTTCTTCTCCGAAGTAGTAAATTAATATATATAAATTTTTTCCCAATGTAGTAAATCTAAACACAATGAAAATAATTTAATAATTTCAATCCCTTCAAAGCAGTAAATTTAAAATTTTCAGTAATAAATCTATACAAATGCAAGCAGTACTAACCTTTTGGAGACAAAACTCACTCGCACACAAATTCTATCCACACTCGCACAGCTCGCCCACGACGAATTGTTTAAAATAATGATTTCCAGTTTCAACTTTCACTAACAACAGCTCAAACACCAACGCAGCTTACTAAACACCATAAACCACAAACTAACAGCATGACTATGAAAAGAAAACCCACGGTACCCAAACCGGATTAAACCAGCTTACAGAACTAGATAATTTATTCTTTTGAAGACTATTGACAAGTCAAAATGAAAGAATAAAACACCAAAAAGTCGAAAGACAAACCAAACCAAACAATTTGATTTTTGAAAAAAGGACACAACCAAAACAACAAAAGGAAGAACCAGTAACAAACACAACATAACAGGTTAACACAAAACAGGACCCCATAAAAAACCAGCATGAAATAATACCCTCACTCCTGGCCTAACCCACCAGAAGAGGACGCCCTGAGCATGCTTTATAGCCGGCCCAACCCATCGTGCCAGAATTCACACTTTGTTACCCATTACCTTTTTTGACAAAAAGTACTCAAGTGTGAGTCACTCTTGAAAACTAACAGAACTAAATTAAAGGCTTTTGTGATTAAAACTAATAACAAATCATAACTAAAAACAGAACTAACTAAAAATTTATTTATGTAAATTTTATAATGCAGTAATAGAGATCATTCACAATCACGAAAACAAGCATCAAGAAACTAAAAAGACCTCATCACACTCAATCCACAGAATGGCTAAACACAACCGATATGCCGCCCACAACCACAACTCAAAGGATTTGAAATACTACTTGACATCGAAGCAAAGGACTTCATTGAATCCGACCAATGACCACCTCGATGCTCAAGTATACGTACAGATCCGAGTTTCAAGGCATTCTCTCCAAACTCGAGCTTCACGCCATTTTCAAATAAGATCGAAACACAGTTCTCTACGCCGAACAGGAACAAACGATCATAACAAACCATTTGGAAATCAGATTGATTTTGTTTGCGGTCACAGTCATTGCTGAATGACAGAATGAGATCTACGGTTCCAGCTTCCTGGAGCTTCTTCCTCCAAGAACGGAAAAGAATTGATGCTCGCGAAATACAAACGATCATCATCAATCCTCCATTACAGATAGAAGTTAAAGAACAAAAAACTCTGTAAACCCCGGATGGGTGGAACCAGATCCAAAGTATATATTGTTATTGGTTATAATTTAGATATTTTATCCCTATAAAATATTAAAGACTAACCAATCACACTCCATCAAACTAATAACCCACTTATTTGTAAGTGCTGAAATTACTTGTAATTTCAGCACCAAAGCGATTTGAATTTAACTTAGAACTTAGTTGCTTTCTCCAGGAGACCGACTCGTAACAAAACCAGTATACTCTAGATCTATTGAAACTAAGAGATATAAGAGTAAGATTAAGCTCGGTATTAGACTAAGGAGTTGCACGAATCTATCCGACCGAAAATAAGATAGCGTGACAAGCAGACGGTGTACCCTATCTGAAATTACTGAGTTAACCTCCCATCTCAACTCATTTAGATCACTTTCAACCGTTTTCAAATGCAAAACAGTCTTATCTCTACTTTGAACTGTTACACTATTTTTCAACTTCAAATTTCCATAAAATATTCTCAAATCTTCCTGAAGTTTGCGTAAGATGTCGTTGGCCTCAAGGTTATCATTCCTTTTCGACCTTGTTTTTCAAAAACATAACGTCTGTTGATGGTGATAATTGTGTATGTATGCATTTAATTATGTAAAATACTATACTGGATCGGAATGGTGCGCCAAAAATAACCTTAGAGGCCAAATTTTTCCAAAAATGATATTTTGGACCTGTATTTTCAAAAAAAGTGATCAAAAAAAATCTGACGAAACTTTGCGGGACGGGGGGTTCAAGAACTAGAACACCAAGAAGGGGGTTGTTTCTGGATAAGGGGGTCGTTATTGGGGGTAAGGGACAAAGGGGCAAATTTTGTGGTGGGAGCAATGGAATCGATCGTTCTCCAGTTCGAGGCTTAGAAAAATTAAGCTTAGAAATCGAGTAGGATGTATACTCGTTTTGCAAAATCTCTTCATCACTAATTTGATAAATGCAGATATTCTTGCAAAATTTTGCGCGATGCGAAACAAAAAGAAAATGAAAAAAATCATTTTAATTGATTTTAAAAAATTGATTATAATCAATTTTAAATGTAATAAAAACAATGGATTATAATTGTTTTTTCCATTCCATTTTTTGTTTGAGGGCATCATGGGAATCTATTATTTTGTTACTTCTAAGCAGGGCATATCAAAATACTATTGCTATTGCAATATATTGTAATATGTATATTGCAATATTCTATTTTGAAAAATTATCATAAGCAATATATTGATATTTATCCTGCAATATATTGCAATATTTTGCAATACTTAAATTGATTAATAAAGCAGCGTTTAGGTTAAATGCACGTAATTTTCCGGCCATTTATAATGATTATCGGAAAAGCATGCTGCCTGCTAATCTGGAAATGCAACTTTTTTTTTCATTACAATCATAAATTTTGGGACATTACTACCGTGAAAGAATGTGTTGACAAAAATAATTTTTAATACTTATTTCCAATTCAATGTTTTTTTTGCATTTTTCTTCTCGGAAGTATTGCAATATATTGCAATATTATATTGCAAATGTGAAAAAAAAAAACAATATTTTATTGCCAAAAAATTCGGAAAGCAATAATATTGCAATAGTATTTTGATATGCCCTGCAATTATGATGATTTCTTTTCTATTTTTAGATGCGGGAAACTTTTAACACATGCAATTGATGTTTTTAAGGATCTCAGAAGCAAGCGAACACATTTTTCTGCTCTATCATAGCACCGAGCTTGGCGTTGTAATGAAGTCTTTTTCATAGTTCGACCAAAATGGTTCTTGAGCTTTCTCAGATAACTATAAATACCCATCCAAGTTGCCTTCATAAGAAGTCATCGCGTGCTTATTTTGAGGCACAGTTTTGGCACGTTTTCTCAAAAATGGACTTGCTGTGCAGCGTTTTTGACAAACTTCATTTTAGGGTGTTTTAGGAGGGGGTTTGATAAATTAGACGATAAGCAAATTAGACGGAGGAACTTAAAAGGAAATTAGACGGTTTTGCAAAACTGCAATTGTGAGAAAATAGACGAAAGTGAGAGAAATTAACTTTGTTTGCACACAAATTGCGTTAGAAAAATAAAATTGTTTGTAGACAACAGTTCAATTTCGGTGGCCAAAAACTTTACAAGTCAATCATGCATAATTTATTCAATTCAAAACTCTCCTGTAATATTCAGATTTGACATTGTATGTTCATTTGAACTAATTGTTTTGATAGGTATTGACATTTTATGTTCTTTTTGTACTTGTGAAACTTGACTCTTAAGAAAAAATTGGCCCTTTCCTTTTCATAGCTTTTTCGTCTAAAATGCGACATCCGTAAAAAAGAAATTCCGTCAAATTTCGTTTTTGTAGTATCCGTCTAATTTGCTTATCGTCTAGTTTCCTAGGCCCCTTTTAGGAGAGATTGGTTAATCAAGTTAGTCTATACTTCAAAATACTTATGGCTGATTTTCGACGAAATACAGAACTTACTATCTACTGCTTTTCATATACTTCCAAAAAATGAAATGGCAAAAAACAGCAGAACTGACAATTGTATTTTAAAATTAAGCTTATAAGTTTACATGAGTCCGACTTCTGATAAGTTCTGCTGAATAATTGTATCAGCCACCACATTTATCAAATGAGCCAGAGCTTCCGTGTCAGTCGCGCACGTTAAGTGAGGGTATATATTTCTATTCTCCGTCTGGTTTTTGCTCATAAACTGATCTGTGAAGTACTCCGCCCCTTTTTTGTAGTCTGGGCCGCCTGAATAGTCCTTGAAGTATTTCTCAATAGGGGATCGCACCACTTTCTCTCGGAAGAGGTCTGTTTTGTTCAGAAATAGAACCACGCTTTTCTTCTTGAAGACGCTCATTTGAATTGTGTTTTCGAAGAGATTTAGACTCTCGGCCATTCGATTGGTTCCTTTGAAAGAATCAAATCAGCTGATAGAAACTAAAACTTTTACCTTAGGGCTTTCTTATGGCGAAATTTGATCAAAAAACGCCTTTTGAACAGTTAAGCGGAAAATTATCAAATTATCAAAAACCTTGTCGGCTAAAATTATTCTCAAAATTTCTATACAAAACTATCCGTTGGTGCAACAAAGAAATCAATTTTTCTGACGTAAATGGTCCGTTAAGTTTTTTTTTAATGAAGAAACATTTCGATAGGCAGATAAATGTCCTTTTTGAATTTTTTCCAAATTGTGATTTTTCAAAAGGTAATAGTTATTTTCGTAAATTAAATGCAAATTAATTCCTTCTTGAAACACATCTTTATTTTTAATGTCATTTTATTCTTAACTTAAAACTAATTTGATTCCTTTTCTCGTGTCTTCAAAGAGCGTGAGGTCATAGTCATTCAAAGAGGCCACGTATATGAGGGCAGTGACATCATCAAAAGCATGCACCCACTTCTTGCGCTGGTTCCTCTGACCGCCAACGTCTATGATTCGGAATCTGCCCTCGCTGTTGTTGGTTCGGATGTTGATTTCTATTTCAACTATGCCCTGTTTTGACAAAGTGCAATTGTGAACAAGAAACTATTTGGTTTTTGGATTTGTTTGCTTGTCTTTGAGCATAAGATTTGAGCATGTTTGCTTGTCTACTTTGCCAGACATAAATTATATCTACTGTTTTTTGATTATTTGTTTTTTTTTGCGAAGCGCCATTTTCATTTTTTTTAAATTGAAGCTTCCATGTAGGTCTTCCCGCGTTTAGAAATTGTCTTATTGTAACCTAAAATTTATCTTTTTATTTCAAAAATTGCTTTTTAAAAACTAGGTAATTTACGCACTAACAACGCTTTTTTCGTTTTTAAAAGCCTTTTTGAAATAAAAAGCCAAAATAAATCTAATATAGTTAAGTTAAGACGATTTCTCCACGCGGGAAGTATCAAAACACAAGCTTTTCAACTCCTTACGGAAAACCGCTGCTGTAACCCGTAAAAAAGGATTTACATGCAAGTTTTTTTGATTGAATTGTTTAAATGGCATGGTAATTTTGCCTCACATGCAATCAACGAGAACTCCAGGCAATTTAGCTTCTATGCTGTGCGACGGTTGTTGATTACGTTCTAGAGAAAAAAATGGATTTTTTTTAAACAAGAAATTGGGTAAGTTTTGAAACGATAAAGAAGCGATGAACTCTGATCATATTTTCAAACGCAGTCACGAAGAGTAACATCATTAATTTATTTAATAACATTCTACCAGCTGATTTAGAAAAAAGAGGCTGAGGTTGTGGCTTTCTGATCATACTACAGCGACTGATCTTAGGCATTTATGGGTTATTCCAGACTTTTGAGGCCGAGAAGTATCTGCGACAGGTGCAGCACAAGAAAAAATAACCGCTGTTTCAATTTAACCAAAACTTGCTTCTCAAAAAATTTCAAGTCTTAAATTATGTTCTGTTTCCTTAGTTTCTGAAATTTGAAGCTTGCTCAATGCGAATAAAACCCAGACAATTTTATTTGTCGTGTCCAGACTACCGCTAATTTTTACCGACTATTGCGACTGGTTTTAAGACAAAACGCCGAGCCAACGCATCAAGAACGCATATCGATGTTTGCAACTTATCTTTAGACTTTCAATGTGGCGTCAATGTCACTGTAACTTATGTGTACTTGCCTGTGTCTGCTGTCGTGCTCGGATAATGTCATCTGTAGATGGCTCGTAGCTCTCCTTTGAGATCTCGTCAATCTTCTCTATGAAGTACTTGGCAGAGTCTATCAGCTGGTACTCGTTCGATCTAGAACGATCATTGGTTGGGCTCTTGGAACCTGATCTAAACTACATTTTATGATTGGATAAATTAGATATTTTACCACTGTAAAGTATTTAATATTAACCAATCATGATCCATCTAACTAACAACCCACTTATTTGTAAGTGCTGAAATTACTTGTAATTTCAGCACCAGAGAGATTTGAATTTAACTTAGAAATTAGTTGGACTCTCCAAGAAGACTTCAGCAGCCGCAATAAACCAGTATACCCTAGATCTATTGAGCCTAGCAGAGACTAGTTAAACAACCTGAGACTAGATAGTATAAGAGTAAGATTAGGATCGGTATTAGACTAAGAAGTTGCACGAATCTATCCGGCCGAAAAGAAGATAGCGTGACGAGCAGACGGTGTACCCTATCCGAAATTACTCTATGAGTTAACCACCTCGGTCCTAACTCATCTTGTGCGACCATAAGTCTCGAACAAGACCCTAATAGCTTAGAATTAACCAAAAATAGATTAGAATTTAGACAAAACATTTTTAAAAATGTTATACGACGATAATTTAATCGAAATGTCTCTACGACTCAATAGATCAGAGCCAATATTCCGAACGATAACAAAACTACCCGGAATTGCAAGAAGACCTCGAACCAGAGACGACATACGACAAAATAGAAACTTACCAAATAGTTATATGATAGTACGGCAAAAGCCAACACAAACTTTTATATTTAGAATTTTATTAGCAATGAATTTAGATTTTCATTTGCAAACATAAAATTTTGAAGTCAATCTTCATAATCATTTCAGGCGCTAAAACAAAACTAATAATATACAATAACGATTGATAAAAAGATCTCAGATCGTTTTCCTAAAATTCTGCAGTATTATATAAAACATGTTTGAAAAATATTTTTTGAAATTCAAAACAAAAATTAGTAGCATGACAATAAACTGTTAGTAATCATAAAATCATCTAAATGTCCCAGCTTCATCACCTAAAACATAACAGCAATCATAAGCTCACTAATATCATTAAAAAACTAAATCTTTTTCTTAAACAAATTTAATCATTTTAAACTTAAAATCACTTAATTTTAAAATCAAATCATCAAGGCTTATCCTTGGATCTTAAATAATTTTCTTTTTAATTAAATTTAAAACTTGATCATCAAGGCCTATCCTTGGATCAAAAAGAACAATTTTGTTCTCCCCCACCCACTTAGCTAGTGTCTAACGACCTCAAACGTCGATTCACTATCCAACCCTTTCAAAAAACCCAAGACTAATAGAAATTTTTGAACAAAACTAATCATTCAAATTAGGATAAACAGTGAAGAACTTCGGTTATTCATCCTTCACTTGAACCCTCCTCTTATCAAGACCCAGGATAAATATTAGACTTTGTAAGTTTAAAATAGTATCTAACGAACTACTCGCGTTCTAATTATACCTGAACCTTGTGGATCGATTTACTATTCTCCAACCCTTGAACACAATCACTACCCCTAAGTAAGATTAAGTAAGTTAACACCTTAGCTTATACTAGCCACGAGAAAGTAAAAAATCATTCTTCGGAATCGATATACTTTTCTCTCCAACCCTGAACAAATAGACCCAGGTTAAGCAAACCAAAAAATCGTAAGGACTAACAGATTAAGAAAATAGAAATCATCTAACAACTTACTGCATCCGTCATCCTAAACCTTATGTCATTTAAAAATCTAGGAAACAAATAAAAACAATCGTATTACACAACTTTGAAATAGATAACAAAAAATACGATCTTGTAATCACACCTCATACACAAACAGTTGGATATATTAGAACAAAACGACAAACACTAAAAAGAAAAATAATAAACAAATAAAGACAAATCACACGAAAAAGATTTTCCAAAAACAGAAACGCATTTTCAGAATCAGAAGCCAGCAATTTAGTCGAACTTTATAAATTAAAAGAATCAATTGATAAAAATTGTCCCATTCACGATCAACTATATTTTTCCGACTCAGAAACAACTTCAAATTCATCAAAAAGAGGAAAAAGACGAATAAAAAAGCAATATAAACACAAACCAGTACACTTATATAACTGGAAACAACCAATTAGACACATCGATAATTACCTATTAACAGTCATTAAACGAAAAAATGAGCCAAACACACACTCCAAGTGAAGATAGTCCAGATGATGACGATATCTTCCCCTTCCTCGTAGATGCAACCAATGATAGAGGACAGCATATATTTTGCAAGAATTTACTCCTAAATTTGTTTGAACCCGGAATCAGCCCATGTAAAACAGAGTTCCCAGATGTAAAAATCAAAAGACAAATTATTGATCACTATCTGAAAGATATATGTAATTTGACACAACACTACGGAATCTACACCATAGAATTAACCTCACCAAACCCGAATCACCGCAAATATGTAATTCAAACAGACGACCTTGATTTAGAATTTTCAAAAGTATTCTCAGAATATATAAAAAGCATACAATATCATAACTCACAAAGAGCAAACTCCATATTTACTAATGAAGTTTTTGCAATAATATATAGTTATATCTCAATATTAGAAAACGAAATTCCAATCTCAAATGTCTCACCGACAGAGACATCTAAACATATAAGGGTACGACATGAAATCACACTATTTTCATCTTTCCTAAATATAATTAAAGAAAATTTCACTAAAGATGAAGTTTCACAACATACAAAACATGACTTACAAAAAATTTTGGCATGGTTTATAATAGATTATTTCACACATAATATAGATTTAATTTCACAAGCAAGAAAAAATTTTAGACCTCAAAATTCAATCGATGATACCGGCATCACAGAACAGTCAGACTACACTTGGGACCCCGAATGGTCTCATTATGCATCCATAAATTTTCCACAATCAATTTCAAGTCAAGCAATAAGTACAATATCTTATACAAGAGATTATGTAAGAGTAGTACCATTAACCATTGACGCAACACCATTAAACTACAATACATTTTTACCTGATACTCGAAATAACAGTTTAAACTCAACGGTCATACACAATGAAAACCTTAATGAAACTAGGAATCTCACTCAAAACACCATCGCACTTCATAAACGAAGAAATTGTCCAAACAACAACTACACAACAAAGTATTTCACCGATACGTCCAAATTTAACAACACCAAAAAATACACACACTTCACTAGCACAGGTAACCTTACAATCAACCGTTAAACCTTCGGTTGCTCCAAAATATTCACAAATGGATTACCAAACATATAAACCCATGACAATACCGTCAAAAACACGCAGAACGTTCACAAGAAACAATTTTGCAGATTGCTATCCTCCACGAAATAATAATAATAATCAAATCAGATCTCGACATTGGAATAATCCAATGGCAACAACCAACTCAGTAAATTTTTCACATCCTCCACAGGATCATAGTGAAAATTACCCATTCTTTCAACAGAATAAAAATAAAAAACAAGCACCTCATCAAATGGATTATCTATCCTCTGATGATGATTATTTACAACCAGATATATTTGCACCATATACCCACGAACATCGCGGACAAGGAGTACAGAAACCATATACACATCATAGAATTTTTTCTCCACATCCAACGGATACACAAAATCAACAACCAATACAAATGCAAAACCCAATTAACATACAATCCTTTCAACCAATTCAGCCACAAAACCCAATGATTACACACTCGTATCAACCAACACAAATGCAAAATGAAATACCACTCCCATATTACCTTCAACAACACGAAATAACAAAAAATCAACTTTCAAATTTTTCACAAATGCCAAATGCCGCAGAATCATTATAAATGACAATGAATCCATACCTTATGGGTGGATCATCAATAACATCAAACAAACCATTAATGGTATTCACAGGAACAGACCCTGAATATTCTGTAGAAGATTATTTAAATGCAGTAACAGCAAATTTAATTTTAAATATAGGACCTGAACCAATTAATACGCCACTACATCAAAATTGGATACATCGACGCACAGGATACATCTTTCGAAAACTAGTAGACAAGCTAGAGCAAGCGGAAATCACAATGAAACTTGAAGAAACAGAAAATCAGAAATTACAATATGTTAACCGAATCGAAACAAATACCACAAGTATCAACAATATACAGGAATCAGATACAGACCTTGTTGAAAAAATCACTAAAATACTCAATATTTATGAAAAACACCCAAACTTTAAAGGCAAACCATCTTTCAAAAAATGGTGTAATTATTGCCGACGATACGGACATAGCATTTCTGAATGTAGACAAAAACAACAAGATAACCAAAACAAACCTCAAAAATATAAAGAACCAAATAAATCATTCTATCAGTACATGAAGAAAGATCAAAATCTACCGAACAAAAATGTATACAGCAACAACAGTTCAGTAAAACCACTTCCGAACAATACCAACTACACGAGAAATCAATCACCATATAACTCAAGTTATAGAGGAAGATCACCAGAACGAAGAAATACACAAAATTCGTCACAAAATCATTACAATAGACCAAATAGTCGAAATAACTATTCCAGATCAAATTCAAATACAACACAATTTGTTTCTAGATCTAATTCCCAATCAAGGAATAGATACTATCCAAACAATCAGTCACGAAACTCATCATATAATAGGAATAGAAACTACTCCAATAATCGAAATAGAAGTTATTCAAACAATCGAAATCAGAATTACCCGAACAATCGATCAAGGAATAACTCATATAACAGATCAAACTATCACAGATCAAACAATAATTATCAAAATAGATCAAGAAACAATTCACAAAATCGACATTCAAGTTATAATAATCGTTATAGAAATTATTCCCAATCACCACACAGAAATAATAATCATTATAACAATTCCAACAATCGCCACAGAAGTAGTACACCTAAACATCAAAGACATATAAACCAAGTACAATCAAATCAGGAAACAACATCAGACCCCCCAGGTATTG